GAAATGTAAAAACACTCCTTTTTCGAGCATTTTTTAAACTTTGAACACGATTACAGCCAAACGGCTAAATCCAAGTAATATATCGATACTTGACTAGATTCCCCAAACATTCAGCTTTCATATGCATATGTTGGATTCATTCTATATATTATAGTTTTCGAGAAATTCAATGAAATATATCTATATTTGACTATTACACTAGAGTACGGATTGATATAATTTCTATGAAATAAAAACAAAGTCAAATATTATTTATCAAATTTTGGGTCACTTCTTCATGTTTTATTTGATTACTCGACAACTACACAAGCTATTTAAAACTATGAAGACTCTAATTAAAGCTAAAACTACGCTTATTAAGATGAGTATTTAGATTTACCGCTGATTTTTTTTAATTAGTCAAATTAATAATGAAATTAAGCAATTTGTATTTAAATTTAGTATTGTTACTGAACAACACCAGATGGCGCTTATTAAGAAAAAACAATTGCATTTATCTTATTAACTAATTAGCAGACTTCAATATGACTTATATTAGCATAATGTAGATGAATATTCAATTAATATGGACCTATTGATTATATAAATAATTGAGTTTTTAAGAAAATCGATTTAGTACAGCGCAGAAATGGCTGAACTACAACCTTTGACATAATCCTAAGAGATGGAGCCAGGTGTCTCAAAATAATGAACATTACCGTTTGCGCCTAACATACGGCAACCCAACCTACACTGATATTTGCCTGTACATAACTTATTTAACTTTAAAATACAGTGTCTATACTCTATCTATATGTGATAATTACAGTAGAATACGCATTCATATAATTTATATGAAATAAAAACAAAGTCAAGGGTCATATTTATGCAACCTTCGTTGTTTGTGCAATTTGAAACCAATTGTATTGTAACTTTAATAAATAAAAATAGCGAAATACATATGTATTGCTTCCTCCTTGAAGAAATAAGAAATAGATGTGTATTTAATTTTATATATACTTTTTTAAATAGACATCGCCCTAAGCTATCTTCAGGTGAGTGAGATGAGTGCATTGGAAAGTACCTTTGGGAAGACAAAGAGTGTTGCGGAGTGTTGTAGATAGGAGAAGTAAGAGATATTGATTTGACATTTGCCGCCGCTGAAATAGATGTGTGGGTATCCCTGTGGGTTGTGCAGAATTTAAAATACAAAAATGGGTGATAGCAGCGACGAAGAATTCCAGAACAGCGAATCATGGGTGTTCTACAGGAACAGGGATGATTGGAAAGATGTGGAGCCTGTTGAGCAGGAGGACGGCGGCGAATATCCAGTCGTTAGCATATCATACACACCTAAATGTAAGTACCTTAACACTTTCTGCACTGCATATTTCATTGAAAAACTTTTGTTTTCGTTTGTAGTCAAAGATGTCTATGACTATCTCAGAGGTGTCATGAAGATAGGGGAGAAGTCTCAAAGAGCTTTGGACCTCACTGCAGATGCCATTGCACTAAATGCAGCCAATTATACTGTGTGGCAGTACAGGTAATATATACTTGAATTTGTTGTTATCGATTTGAGATTAACTGTTCCCTCCTGCAGACGAGATATACTCAAGGAATTGAAGAGCGATCTTGCTAAGGAATTGAAGTACATTGAGAAGGTTATTCAGCGCCATTGCAAGAACTATCAGGTCTGGCATCACAGACGCGTTATTGTTGAGTGGTTGCAGGACTCCAGCAAAGAACTTAAATTCACACAAGGTATTTTAGTGTTTGATGCGAAAAACTATCATGCTTGGCAGCATCGACAGTGGGCCATCAAAACATTTGGGTTGTATGAAGGGGAATTGGAGTATGTTGATTCTTTACTTCGTGATGATATAAGAAACAACTCAGCTTGGAACCAAAGATATTTCGTTATCAACAACACTATCGGCTTCGTCGATGATGTTGTCTCTAAGGAAGTGGAGTACGTTTTAGAGAAGATCGAGACTGTGCCGCTCAATGAGAGCGCTTGGAACTATCTCAAGGGGTAAATTTGGAATTTTTCATATTTAAAAATTTCTAATTCTTGTTTTTTCTTCAGACTTTTGTTGCACGATAAGGGAGGATTGAGTAACAACGTGAAGGTGACGACGTTTTGCGAGGATCTCTATATGAGTGGAAACCGCTCTCCGTTTCTGCTCGCTCTGATTGTGGATATGTGTGATGAGCGCATTTCCAACAAAGCCGAGGATGATAAATACAATTTGAAGAGGGCTTCGGAATTGTGCCATGAACTTGCTACAACCGTGGATCCGATCCGCTGCAGATATTGGGAGTACATGTCTACTACGATTAGTAAAAAGGCGGGTTGTGAGAGCGGTGAAGATGCTGAAGGTGGCGACGGCCCAGAGGAGGCTGCTGCTGCTGGAGCTTCGCACGACGTATGAATTATGTTCGTTGTCTAATTACGTTCTCCAACCTAATAAATGTTTTTACTTTGACTATGCCAAAAAAAAAGATACTGAAATGAAAATCATAAGATATATATGTATGTCAATTCATTCCTAGCCAGTGTTGCATTTTCGATGATGATGATAATGATCATTATGATGTAAAGTAATCACGATCGATTTTAACAATGACTCTGCATGTCTTATTTATAATTATTTTAGTTTACTATAATTATTCAACTGCCAATGTCAAAAGCTTCTTGATGTCTTTGTGATTGAATATTATATATATATTATATGAATAAATAATGACCCATTTAATTACCTCTTAGGAAATATATGCAATGCTCTGTTTTAATAAGACATCATAACAATTAATATATCTGTCAATAATTAAAAAAAAATATATGAAAATACTTTTATTGAAACTAATATTACAAGAGAATGGTCAATCCCACGAATCTACCAATATGACTAATCGAAAGAGGAAAGCTTTTTCTTTAAATCACATCTTTTATAATGATACTATATAGCGTAATTAATGAACAATTCAATTAAAAGTGAAGACACTACACATTCTAATTTGAATTAGTTAGTATACTTCCATGTATGTTTGGTTGCCTGCACATCAGGCGTAAAAAGAGATATTTAAATTTTGATCAACAATTAGTATTAAAATTATTTAAATAGAACAAAATGTTCGAAAAATTTGCTCAGTCATATAATATGTATAATTCATAGAAATTATATCAATGCGTACTCTGCTGTAACAATGAAATATAGATAGTGTGAAGACACTGTATTTCAAACTTGAATATATAATGTGCAATAAAATTTCAGAGTAGGTTTGGTTGCCGTTTATTAGGCGCAAATTGCAATCTCCATTTTCTCGAGACACCTGGCGCCATCTCTTAGGATCACGTCAAAGGTTGTAGTTCAGCCATTTCTGCGCTGTTCGAAATCGATTTTCTTAAAAACTCAATTATTTATATAATAAATAGGTCCGTAATAATTGCATTTTTATTTATATTAAGCTAATATAATTGATATTGAAATCAGCTAATTAGTTAATAAGATAAACGCATTTATTTTTTTGTAATAAGCGCCATCTGATGGTAGCCAGTAACAATACTGAATTGAAATACAAGTTGCTTAATTTCTTTATTAATTTAACTAATTAAAGGAAATCAGCAATAAATCTAGGTATACTCATCTTAATAAGCGTAGTTTTAGCTTTAATTAAAGTATTCATAATTGTAAATAGCTTGCGTAGTTATCAAGTAATTAAATGAAACGTGAAGAGGTGATGGAAAATTTAAAAAATTAGCTGAATTTGATTATTAAACATATAATTCTTTAGTTATAATTGAGATTTAAATATAAAACATTAATTAAATTGTATAAGAATAAAAGCTTGAAATTAGTTTATAACTCATTTCACATGACCCATATACACTTATCAAGTAATTTACTCTTAGGTCTGTAATTGTTTTACTACTTAATTTGTGTGTTGATTAAACTTGTAGAGGATGGGAATTGTTGGAGGTAATATAACAAAATGAAATACGTTTTGAGTAAATAATAATTTAATATAAAATATATTTCTATGTCCTTAAAATCACTAAATTTATACACTTACGTAAACGTCGATTAATAAATCTAAATTAATTTTTGGGCGCAATTAGGGGAAAGGGGGAATAGAGGACAGGAGGGTTCGATTCTAAATGATGAGTTATGATTTTGGTGAGTTCGCGAAGAAATTTCTTTTCGTTGCTCCTCTCTTCTTTCGTTGATATGTATTAAGTACGAAACGATCGCATCGGGTATTCTTCAGAAATCGTAGGAATCGTCCTCGTCCTTTCGCACCTTGAATAAGAATTTGTAGACAAATCCAGCGAGAACACCACCAACGATTGGACCAGCCCAATACACCTATAAAAGGGAAATATTATAAATTTAGGATATATTTAATAAAAAACTTAACGTACCCAGTGATCAACCCAATTGTTCATGATGACGGCCGGACCGAAACTCCTAGCTGGATTCATACTGGCGCCTGTTAACTTAATCTGCAAAGAAATAATTGAATTATTTAATTTCTACTTTTTGTTGGTTTTCTTACAGCAGCCAAGTGGCAAGCGGTGATGCTGAGTCCGATGGCCAAAGGAGCGGATCCTTTTATGTCCTTGCGACGGGGATCGCAGCACGCCTGCACCACGAAGACCAGGACGAATGTGAGGAAAATCTCGATGATGAATCCCTGCACTTCGGTGATTCCTTGGAGTCCGGTTGCTCCGAGGGTTCCCTCCAACGTAGTCGGTATAACGGCCTGAAAGAAGGAAGCAGGATGATGACGATGATCGATTAAATTTAACCATTTCCGTTTTCGGGCCGCAGCATCTGGCGAGGAGAGATTCTAGCGGTGAAATCTCTCTTTTTGCAGACACAAGCTGATCTAGACATTGAACTTGGATGTGGTCAGTGGTGCGTGGAACACGCGCCACTGACCCCAACAACAAACCAGCAGCTAAAGCAGTCACGAGTCTCTCTCCTCGTTCCGCTGCAACGCGCAAACATTTCATTGTTTGTTTGTTGTTGTTTTCGTTTCGTTCATTTGTTTTCCAATTAGTTTCACACTGCCAAGACCGCATACCTCTTTGATCTTGAAAAGAGTACAAGAAATCGAAAGACGTACAGCAAGAAAAAAAAATAAGATCGTTCTAGTTTGCATCAAAGTAATCAAACACTTCTCCGATCGAATCCACTTTTTGATCTACACAGAAAACAAGATGACATAGTTCTACTTTGCATCAAAACGTTCCAATTCCTATCGCAATGCAAAGAGAGAATAAATGCAGACGAGCAACAACCAGAAAAAAACGTACAAAGAAGTTGGAATGATTGGAGAAAGGCTCGGTTTACTAACCGAGAGAGGAGTAAATTTCTAATAATTAGAATTGTTTACGCTTTTAAATTAAATAAAAAAAACAGCAGAATGTAACTGAATTACAAGCAAATCCTTTCTAATCTTCCAATTTTCGAAAGGCGAAATCGAAGTGATAAAAATGATCGAGCGTGGAAGGAATTCCTTTCTATGAATTTTCCAATTATTTAAAGGCGAAATCCAAGTGATTGATAATAAAGATGAAAGGATTTCCTTTCTAAAGATAAGGAGTATGTACTCACTCTGAGAACTGCCGATCCTGCAGCAGCTCCGATGCACTGGGACACGATGTAGAAGAGCCCTTTCAGCAGTTTGATATCGCCCGTTACGAAGAGGCCGCAGGTCACCGCCGGGTTTATATGGCATCCGCTCACGTGTCCTATCGCCTGGAACATACAGATACATGCATTAAGATAAACAGAAATACGGTATTTGCATGGCATTTCTGCAACAATTTCCATAACGTTAGAATCTAAAATCTTCAAATGCCATTTCAAAATCTTAGTAACAAGCATACATTATATTTCAATTACAAAAATTATAACAACTTTGACTCCTATAATGCAAATACAATAATACTATAAAACTACTTAATATGAGCACTGCTTCGTTAAATTTCTAAAGGATAATTCCAAAACCACAATTATACAGTACAATCAATCAATGTACAATGAATCATAACTTCTTTAGAGGTTTTTCCATCTTCTTCAGAATATTCACAAAAGAAAGTAGAATTAACTAACTTTTACGTATCATTTTTATTTTTTCGTACTTTTTTTCAAAGGTATTTCCAGTTTTCGAGCGACATTCTTGCAGCAATTGTCAACGCAAAATATCTACATAATATTCTAAAAAATTCGATATCTTCAAAGTAAACTTTAATTATTGAAATAATTGATCAGAAAATCATTCTAATAAATAATTAATAATGTAACATGTAATTGAATAATTAATGAGACGTTTAATTGAATCACAATGATTGATGTATGTAGTTTATAAAAGTGTCGTAATAATACTTGAATTTCCGCTGCGTCGTACTCTGCTCATGCAATTCAAATTTGTTTGAGAATGGGGTCGAAAGAAAGAAAATAAACAACGTCAGTAGAGTAAAAATTCTAAAATGGTCCAAAAAGAGAATTCACCTTCGAAGGTCGTTCGATATAATTGCGGAGAAGAGAAGTCCCGATTGCCATGAATAATGCATACACGTTAATCATTATTGTTATTATGTACGTATTATTATTATTAATTTATAAGAAAAATTGCGAAGAACAAAACCGTGAGATGATTTAAAGATGTAACGTATTTTTGTCGTGGAATGCACGACGATCCGTTATGTGGGTGGAAATTGAAAGGAAAGAGGCGAGCCCACACCGAGGATGTTGCTGCTGCACTCCCGCACACAAGAAAGAAACAAGCGTGAACATGGAAAGAGATTGAGCGATGGAAAGAGAAGCAGAGAGAAAGAGTCTAATTATCTTTGACAGAACAATAAAACTTTAAAGTTTATTAAAATTAATATATTGACAGCAGCATGACTACGTTCTGTGAAGAAAGAAAGATAAAATTGTGATAATATTTCAGGGAGGATCTGAAACTACTTAGAAAAAGGATTCAAGGATACAAGGACTTGTTACGTTAATCCATCGGGGAGGTTTGAAATTTTCGAAGGTTCGTTTACTCAGGAGGCCGCGCCTGTTTCGGTTTTGTTTTCTTCTCTGTTTCTCTCTCGTTTTTTTTTCCTTCTTCTTCTTCTAAGCTGTTTGTGTATGTGTGTGTACGCACAGGGCGCCCAGATTACGTAATTGTTGTTCTGGTGCAAGAACCAACGGCCAGCAATGGGCTTGGTCGATGGTTTTGATCGCGTGCGAACACCATTCCTCTCTTCCAAACCTAAAGACTTGCTGCTTTTCATCCTGAAAACCGTTTTGAGATTCCAGAGGATGTTACCAAACCGGTAAAGAGGTCTTCGATCCCGAGAAATACAAAAAAAAAATAATAACAAGATGAAATGGTAAACTGCAACGAAAAGGCGTTATGCAAATGCTGATGTCCTTGAAAAAAGGTCGTGCAAAATTCACAATTCAAAACTGAAGAACTTAAGCATAAAATGAATGCATTCAGTCAGTATAAAATAAATGTTACTGATTGAGACGAATTTATTCCTTCTTTAATTTGAACTTTAAGAATGAAGAAATGCGAGTAAATCATGAAATTATTATGTATAAAACATCATCACCTTTAAATGAACGATTTTGTTGCAATTAACTCGTTCGAATGCCGACAAAACGAATTAAAGAAAAGAAACAACAAATAAACACAGTTTTTTTTTCTTCTGTTCGTTCGCATGCTCTACATTTGTGCTAATGGTATTAACATCGATCCAAACGAAAGATACCAAAGTTTCGCGAATTCTCAATGATGATGATGACGTTTTTCTTCTTATATTATTGTTGTGCGTTGCGCAACTTCTCGCTGATCCCTATCTAACACCGAATCGAATTAACATTTCCAGCCGATTTATCTTTCGATAAGTCATTTTAATATCTCAATGTTTCAATCAAAAACGCGTAATTGATTTGTTCAATTTCATTTTACCGAGCGAATCCGACAAGAAATCCCATACAGAAGAAAACAAGACGAGGCGAGTAAAGAGATATTTCCATATAATGATTGCGACATCGCGGTCTTTGGTGAATAATCAACTGGACCAGACTCGCTGGCGTTTCTACATTTGTAGCCTTAAGTTTAGCTCTGATTTATTTAGTCGAAATCTTAGAAATATTTGGATTTGTCAACTTTCATATTATTACGAGATTAATAATTATAGTAAATTAAGAAAATAGAAATTTCATAAACTCAACGAAATCGACTTCCAATTTATACTACTTATTAAAACTAATCGATTAATGACAATAATCTCTCGATTAGAAAAAAATTAATAAAATTTAATCATAGTTAAACTATAAATTATCTTTAAGTTTAATCATCACCCATTTAATTACCAATTAACCTGTGTGGTCTTCGATAACCAAATCTATGTAATGGCTCAAGTTTAAAACGTGTCCGCAGGCTAGAAAATAAAGCCACAAATAAATAATAAACACAATCAGATATTTGGGTTTCTCGTAAAACCCACGCTTTTTAACGCTCATAATTAGATCAACATCGATTCGACGCTGAAGATATTAACATTTTTATTGTCTTCGAAACACAAGCAGAAAAAAAAAACTTAATGTAGAGAACGAACGTATTTTGTTGCACAGTTTCAATATACATCGAGTTGCGCAACGCGTTTCATTAATTAAGCCGATTTAAATATTTACTCAACGATTCGATAGTTTCATTACGCTGAATTAGAGTGAAAAAAAAGCATTTGCGAATGCTTTAATGCTTACTAGGATTATTATTATTATATAGTTTACTAGAGGAATTTGTGTGTGTGTGTATTTTACCTTTACGTAGATTCACGAAAAAAATTTGGAATGAACGAAAAAGAAGTTCAAGTTCAGGCAATTAATTTAAGCGATTCTGCTGTTAAATAACGATCGTATATATATTTATTTTTTTCTCGGATTAATTTCTTCATATCCGGCCTGAAACCTACAAAACGTTACGCAACTTTCGCCACTAGCAATTTTTTTTTTTCAAACTTTTTTTTTTTCGATCTATCTCTTTCTTGTCCTTTTCGTATATATATATATACATATTCTTTTTGGCCTTCAACTTTATACATACACACGCGCGCGGTGTACTTTATTATTTCGGTCAACGCGAAACTGTATTTCGCTCTTTTTTTGTGTGTGTGTGTTTGCTGTTCTTTCTGCTTGCATTCGCGATGTCCCTCCTCTAAGTTTGCAAGAAATTGGGGAGGAAAAATGCTCGCTCGATTCTCACGGTTCAAATATACATGAGTGTGTGTTTTGCGGATGATCGAACCCATGGCTGTTGAGGCGCATTACCATAATTGCAGAGTTTATGGTTGCGACCAACACCCATCTAATGACGGTCTTCGGATATTATTAGCTCGATGCTAATTAGCGTCTTGGCATTAGAGATGTTTCGGCCCGATGTTGCGCGCACATTAAGGCCCATAAATAAACAAAGAGCTTCGATCGTGATTCACGAGTTCTAATTATTGTATCTCTGTTGGGATGGAGAAGAGGAAAACGTTGCTTAGCGTTTCATCTGCAACGAGTTAAAACAGTAATACTTTTGGTAACGGAAAATTTCCTCCCCGAAGAAGTGACGAGAGATCGAATGGCGCGAATCGAATCATAAAAATTATTAATTAAAAAAGACAAGAGCAGAAAATGGGAACCAGTTTTTGGAACAATGTATGTAGACCATCGCGAAGGACGGCGGCGGCCCAGCGTTTTATTTTTTTCTCTCTTCTCGCTTCTCGAATCAACCGAAAAAAGCTTCTGGTATCATGAATTCAGTTTACGTTTTATAGATTACCACTTCATCAACATATCTTAAAATCATTCATTAATATTCCAATACCAAATCCTACTTCCAAGCAAAATTTTTAATTCTACAACTCCTTAACGAATCATCTCTAATTTACTTTACAAATGCGTTGAAGAAGTAAATTGTTGTTTATGATTATTTTTGGGATTGGCACAAATCAGTGGAGATTTTCATATGATTTTCGAGGCTTTTCTCGGACGAAATGTAATTAGTTCTGCATTTCTAAATGTCTTAAAATCCGTTATGGGCATGGGATTCAAGGTTGCTAGCCGGACTGTGCGGAGAGCAGTTTGCGCAAGCCGTGTGGCACAGTTTTGTGTGTGCGCTTTTTTTTTCTTCGACACTGCCTTCGCTTCTTTCCATCACATCCATCGAGGATGGATCAATCCCATTTTAGTCGATAATAAACACGATCACCAGAAGAATCAAAGAAAACAAACAAACAAAAACGAGACCCCAGACAATGTGTCTCCGACTTCTTCCTCGAAACAAACGCAGCAAGTTACACCTGTATCATACTTTTTTTTTCTTTCTCCTCCGCAGATCAAATGATTGACACGACACAGCCTTTGCATGATTGCAATACATTTCTACATCGGTCTAGATTCGCCAAAAAAAAATATTCGATCATTGTTGTTTCGGCGTGGGCCTGCATAAATCATAGATTGGCAATAAAGATTTCTCAGAATGCTCAAAGTTTTAACTTTTGGTTTTAATATGCACCGATTTGTGCATGGATTAATGCGAAACAAAGCGAGGATTCCCATATGCGAGCAGAACTATGTCAGGCGATTTTTGCATATGATTTATATAGCTTTGATTGATGTTAATGCCATTCAAATGAGTCGGTCCCAATAGCGAAAACCAGTTTCTCGGGGCCTCACCCAACATTGTTCAATTAGCAATTGATCCAAAACAAAACAAAAAAAAAATAATGTAAGTAAATGAAAGAATTGTCGAAACGGATCTTATCCCAGTCTGGAATCCTTCCACAATCCGGAGATTATTGTTTCTTTGCAAATTAGAATGTAATTGTAATTAAAAAAAATAAATAAATAAAATAAAACAAGCGGTGCGTTGAAGCATCATCATTTTATAAAACAAAACAAACGCGAAAAATCCATTATTCATGGGACGGATCGAATGCTCCATGCATTATGTATAAAATCTGGTGCTTCCTACTCACGAGGCCTAATTGTTTTTTTTTCAGTTTGCAGAGAATGAAAAAAATAATAATAAATAAACACAATTAAATTATTTTTTTCGAAGAGAAGAAAAACAATAATGTAAGATGTAGATGACACTAGGCGAATCTTGACCTTTCGCTCGAAAGTTCATCCTCATCATCAATTGCTGCTGTTACTATCGATGGTGATGTTCTTTATTAATTTCTGTGTATTCACTCACCAGCGCCAAACTTGCTACCACCAGGCCAAATGTCAATGCTATTTGGATGGTCGATCCATCGCTGGTGACCACCGATGCGCATCCTATCAAGACCAGGAAGAAGGTGCCCAGCATCTCAGCCGCGAGCATACGCCATATCTTCTTGTTGTCCGTGATCTCTGACAATCCCAGCATGCTTTCCGCTACCAAAAACAAACAAACATATCATATTATCTCCTAGGTAACAATAACATTCGAAAACAATAAAAGTTATTCATTGAATAGAAAAGTTATAGCAAAAAGCGAAAACAATTGCTGCATTGTTAGTTGACTGTGACTAAAATGCATGACTGATCCAATTGCTTTAAATATTTCAAGCTTCATTTTTAATTCATAAAAAAACATTGTTTGTTAAATAAACTATTGTAATTATTAAATTAAGGTTAGTATACTAATCAATATTACTGGACACAAATTACAAAAATTTACTATATAAAACTAAATGTGTAAACTTATACAAAAATGCATCTAAATCAGGTAATTCTTTTATTTTTAAATACAAACTGACAAATCGACTTCCTGCAATTTCAGAAATGCCATCGAGCATCATAATAAAATAAATTATACTAAAACATAAGGTTACCATGACATCAGAAACAAACTTATTTAATCAATCTTCCCGATACAAGCCTTCTCCAATTATATAAAAAAAAGCTACTACTACTAGTATTTAAGAATTCCCACTACAACTAAATCAGTATTCCGAGAACTGTCCATCATTTAATACGGACGAGTGGAATTCTCGTGAATATATTAACATCAATTTAACTAGAATTCATTTACGAAAATGTATCTTAGTTAATTTTCGTTAAGTCAATTATTTAAATTAAATAAAAACTTAATAAAGTAAACAAAACTATACACTACAGTTGGTACGATTTTCTCACTAAGTTACGACAACAATTTACGTTGGACTTCCGATTTCGTCACGTTTATCAGCTTATCATATTCACGCAGGAAGCATTAAATTAAAGTATTAATCATTCGAGGGAGTTACACCGAGTTTAATACACATATAAGTTACATAAGTGACGGTTCCTCCGTGACGCGTTCACTCTTTGTTTTTTATATAACTCTTCGCTTTTGTTTGATCCAAACACATTTGTTTTTTTTATATATATATATAGCAATTAATAATCGATTTTGTTGTTGTTGTCTCGGGAAATTCCCGAATTGATATGTAATTGGGATGATCTTGCGAGTGGAAAAACAAATTTGGAATTATAATCGTGTTAAGTTAAGTACAGAGTCTGAGTCGACTAATTATCATACTGGTACGAGGACAATTGCTAAAATGAAATAAAATCGGAACGGTATCTTCTTCGCAGGATAAAGATCTGCGTTGCGAAATTCCTTTCGAATTGGATGCGAATAGGTATAAAAAAAAAATCTATGTGTACGATGGAAAAAGCTCTGGTGGGAAAATTAAAACTTCCATATAAACGTGAACTAATTGATTTAATTCGAGTGTTTCCTTTCGGAATTTCTTGCTAATCATACTGAACCAATTAACTTGCACTTTACTTTTATCGTTTCCAATAGCAATAATATTAAAAGTTTTAAAATTTACTAAATAAATTAATGTTGGCAGTAGATCATGAATTATTTCCAATTCAGTAATACCAATTAAAATTCAATTTTAAGTTGGTAGTTAATAAATTAACCTATATTCATCTAAATTTTAAAGTCATTTGTTTCAACTTCAACTAAGAATAATTAAAGTTGGCAATACTATTGAATATTGAAATTTAAATTTGAAAACTCTGATTTAACCAATTAACGTGTAATTTGACAATCGTTCGTCCATTGTATTTTTCCACGAATCGCCCAGCTAATTGCTAAGCCGCCCTGATAATTGAAAGCTAATTAAAGTGAAAACGGAAAGGAAACTTTCCACGTCTCGTTTCGCGATTGGATTATTACTATTTCTGCATTATCATTTGCCGATCATATTTTTCCATTCGCGATTTATTGGGCCAATAAAAAGTGCCAAAATAATAAATTTAAAATAAACAGTTCACTTGAGGTTATTAAGATTGAGCTGTGTGTAGGCTGGATGATGGAACAAGTAGCCGTGTTCGTTTGTTTGCACAGCTTATTTGCTCCGATGTTTAAAACCTCGTTCTCTCACCGCGCGACAATAAAGATAATACCAGGTATTTCGTACGAGCAAACCAGATAAAAAGATCAAACATTGCGTAATTGGTGTATAATCCCCCCCAATGAGCGTAATTGTTGATCCAATTTTAATTGTTAAAATCAAACATCTTCTAAAATTAACTTAAGTAAATATTAACAATTGCACTGATTCATAATTGTGCAAATGTTAAACTAATTATAACAAAAGCATTAAACTTAATCTGTATTATATTACATTGAGAGTAAGAAAGTGCAGTGAAGATTCTTGAAATCAAAGAAATTGAACTTCGCGCAATTTGAATACTTGCATAAGTAAACTATTGACCCAAACCGTACGATCGGAATATACAAATGTGACGCAAGAAGTGGAATCGCGTTAACCGTTGCTTCTTCACTGAGCAAGTAAAAAAAAAACTGAACACGATTGTTGCTGCATAGAAATAACTTCCTCAACTCCGAACATCAATTAACTATTTGCAATTACAATAAAATCGATAGGTCATTTACAAAAAATAAAAGAATCCGCTTAAATTATCGTTTCAATAATGCATAATGCAACGTTAAAAATAACCATGCAATTACTTAAATAACAAATGCATTGCGTTTCTATTGAAAACAAAACAAAATCGCAGTTTAAAAAATAATAATAAGTTGAAAATCAAGTACGTCGTGAAATATATTATTATATTTATAGGAGGCTATGCAATTAGTCTATTACGTATAATATTTACTAATTATTATTTACAATATACTCGTGATGTGTTTCCTTATTATTATTATTTTAAATTTTTAAATTATTCAACAATTGTAAAGTCAAGTTTTCTTTTGCTTGATAAGCAAATTGTCTGATGAATGTGTACGTTTCGAGCTTAATGTAATCGTATTCTTTCATTATCTACTGCGTATGCTGATATTCACGTAATAATATACATTTTATGCGGTAATAAAGAATTAAAATTGAACAATAAAATTTCATATTTTGTTTTCAAGTCCAAAGCAATAATTATTACCTGATCAGTTCGATTTGCTGCAGTTTAAATATTGCACTTTCTCTGATCTAAATTTCTAATGTAATTAAGTAAATTTACAAAAAAAAAATATATATGTAATTTTAGATTAGTTATTAGTATTTTTACTAAATTATTAACAAATAAGAAAAGTACGCTTTTTAAGTATAATTTAATTTGTTCTAAATTCTTGGGTCGCATTAAAGTAATTGTAAATGGGAATAAACGCGCTTGTTCACTCCAAATATAAATAAACAATTATTATATGACATTAAGAATTTAATTTTAAAAAACAAAAATGTACCTTTTATATCTTTCATTGCGTTAATTGTGTCTCCTGTTTTCTTCGGGTGGGCAACACTTGCTGATTTCTATTTTCACTAGACCACTGGACTAAATGCACCAACTTATTATTATTTCTATTTTTCGTTTGATAATGTAAAAATTAATACTGTGTTTCGATCGGTTCTCAGATCAATTTTTTTTTCTTTCTTTCTCTCTTTCTTTCTTGAGGAGAAGTCGGTCAGGACTGGTAGTCGGTGAATGAATGAATGAGGACCGCATCGCAAAACACCAATGGTTTTATATGCGTGTGTCCGTCTGTACACACAGCCGTGTTTATGTGTGTGTGTACAAGTAAGTTTAAGTAAATCGTGGAACGAGTCCGACGATGATGATGATGATGAGGAGGTTCGTTGCGAATAATTTATGTTATCTTTTTGCATAAAACGGACTTTCTTTCTCTTGTGGAAAAGCGGAAAATTTCAACAATTTCTTTTATCGCACGAATGTTGTTTACTGCTAGAATCATGTCTGTATACACAGTTTAGTACTTAAAATTTCAGCTATAATTTATTTGTTTAATAATCGAACAGATCACATTAAAATGTAATTACTTTAAATTCGACAGGGAATTACGCAATTCTTAGTAGTCCTACTATTATACATTTATATTCATTTTAATCCGCAGATTATCTTCTTTAATTTACTCATTTTATTTTACGTATGCTATTAATAATTATTAAGATATACACTAAAATCTAAATTTAATGATTTCAAATTCGACATAGAATTGCTCAAATAATAGAAGTTATACAATGAAGCATTTATAACCATTGAAATCCTGTGATTTTCATCTTTAATCCACTTGTTTCATTTTATATGA